CAGAAACATGGGGAGGATCCTGAGTATTTAATGCCTATTAGGGAATTACTCATGCAATAACCTGCCACAGAGGTCCTACGAATGCTCACTAGGTTGATTCGTTACCAGTAACCGTGGTAAGAGCTTTTCAATGCAGGCATAGCGCAGCGGTGATGGCGAAAAGCCACTATGGAAAATCCGACTTGGAGGCCCGTGCACCTTGGAATGTAGCCACGTCACCTTGAGCTCGTGTGAAGTGGGGTTTTAAGCCACCACTAAATCTCTCACTCTCGGGAAGAATGGGAAAACTGGCTGTTTTGCCGCGTTTTCCGAACTTTTCGGGGGTCTGCAGAGTCTCAGCAGTAGGACCTTGCGGGCCCGTTTGAAAAACAAAAGGAAAAACCGTGCACAGGGTTGTGTTCACACCGATACTGACAAGAGAGTATCTAACTTCTATTGTGGCCAATTTCAGGTTTTCGTTGTTCGTGTTTTCTGTTTTCCTTCTTTTCTTTTTGTTTTGGTGCTAAGCCAGGGAGGCATCCACAGGCTGCTGACACTTTGTGGAGGAGGGCATGCCCACATTACTACTTCGCACAACGTATGAACCCACTTTCCCACTCTAAGTTCGGTTTCAATTTTTCTTCTTCCTTTTCTTCTTCCGTGGTCCTGATACCCCTGGTTTCACGTACTTTTTCTATTTCTTTTTTGTTGTTGTCAGCACGCTGTTCTTCGAAAGTCTGGCCATGATCTTTTTTTTTTTTTTTTTTTTTCAGAAGAGTACCAGAAATGAAACAAAACGGACCGCAGCCTCGGCAAAACTTGGTGTGCAGCTAGCTTTCCAGCCCAGGCCTGCGGGGTACCCCCACCATGCCCGGAATGGCGCCCGGCCTGGCGACCCCCCCGAGCAGGCACTCACGCACCTCTCGCACCAAGCCAGAAAGAGCCTCAATTTCTTTTTCGTGGCGCAGCCTTATTCCAAACGTGCCAACTTCATCTCTGGCGGTAAGCACGTCTTTTTTTGGGGTGGTAGGCCCCGTTTTGTAGGTTTTAAGATTTGGGGGGATTCTGGCCGCCGATCTGCATAGATCGACGGTGCACGCTGATACAGGATTCAAATTCGCCCCCTCCTGCACCCCCTCCCCCCCCCTCCCTCAACCCACAGAAATCAACATGCATGAAAACTAAAAAAGAGGTCGGATTCGGGCACTACTCCTACGGCACAGCAAGGTCTGGTGGTTAAAAAAAAAAGAAAAACACTTGGTTGCTTTTTCGCCTGCCCAGGGTACCCCAGGCATGGTCCCTTAGGCTCGGAGGTAGTGGTGGTTTAAAGCGCGTGAAAATTTCATGCATATCTCAGTTAGCTGATTAAACCCCAAAGAGATTTTCAGGGACCTTGATTACCAACAAAATCTACCATCTCAGGTTTAGGGGTTGTGGTCTTGCGTAGTTTCAAGTTACAGCGTATAACAATTTAGGGTCCTAGGCTTCTCTTCCTCGTTTCTCCCCCAACGTAAAGGGGACACGGCCTGCCAGCAGTGTCAGGCAAGGTTCGTGAACAGAGGGTTGTGTATTGGTGGTTTCGGGTTTAGGGTACAGATTTGATGTAAAGGGGTTTGCCGTTTCTGGGGTTAACGTTGTGTCATTTCAAGTTTCATGTGGGACGCTGGACCCGGTTTCCAGCACGTGCTGCACCCCACGAATAGATTGGAGCAAATTGTCCCGATAAAAAAAAAAAAAAAAAAAAAAAAAAAAAAAAAAAAAAAGAGGGTTCGAGTCAGGATCCTCTTCCTCTTCCCTTTCTTCCCTGACACAAAGGGAATAAGTACGTAGTAACTCCCTGACCCGTAAGCCAGCTCTTCCTGTCTGTTTCAAGGAAAACGACAAGATATATGAAAGCAGCTCTTCCTGTCTGTTTCGAGTAAAACGCCAAGATAAAGAAAAATGCCCACCTGTACCTCCCTGGGCATTTGGTGGTTTGGGAACCCAAAACGAGAAACAAAGAAAACGAAAGGCAAGATAAATGCAGACAAAAAAGCTATTATAACGAAGAAGAGATTTTATGCACTTGAAACATACTCCTCGGGCTCTCCACTTGATCTTAAAAATGGCGTATCCGCCCAATGGCCCAATGAATTATGGGACTTACAGAATTACATGAACCCTCTCAATGCTCCCACTTTCACTTCCCAAGTGAATAGACAATGGTGGAGCCCCAGTGACATACCCTCTTCCCATTTGTCCAGGCATGTTCAGTATGGCTCGATCCCCACCGACATACTGGCCCGCTCATCCGCGCAAGGCGGCTTGGAATTCCTTCTACCGTCTCTACTCGAATAGAATGGCTGGTCATTATAGCTGTGCATTTGGAGATTCTGCGATAATGACAGGGCATTCTATTCAGGTGAAGACGGTAGTCTCCTTCTCCTTCCCCGCATTCTTAGACCGCCAGTGACTTGGCAGAGGGCGGCCTCCGAGAAGGGTCCCCGCCCGATAGCTGGATGTACTGGTGGTTTAAACCAGCGGTCCATTCGAAGCTAACCTTTTTTTTTTTTCTTTTTTTTTTCCGATGAACCAAAAGTCGCATTTTTTCCAATCCTAGAATCTACAGTGCAGCCTCTGAAAAAAACTACAGTTTCCCCTTCCCACTGAGCCTCTAGCAGGCCTGGCCACTGTACATTTTAGCCCCGTGCTGGTGTTCAAAAATTTCCGGAAAAAAAAAAAAAAAAAAAAAAATCAAAATGATTTTCGGGCGTGAGCTGCATGACGGGGAATTGTCAAACGACTTAATTCAATACTGATATAAAAGATGCAAGCAAATTCTGCAGTGCTGCCTCCAGATGGACTGGTTGTTTAAACCAACAGTACTTCCTAAGAAACGTACTGACCACTACAGGAGCGCCCAAATTCATCCGACTAGAAACACTTCTACTCTATTTTTTCCTGTGGTGTCTGAAACATGGGAAACGCACTGGTGGTTTATGCCGAGCCTCGCATGCACCTGTCGACAATGCTTATCTCCGCCAGCGCCCAGCTCCCTTCTTCTTCCTTAGCGCAGCTCTCTAGCCTGCGCAATTCACTAGCAGCCTGGCGCACTCGTGCCTCAGCACTTCCACACTCTCATGCCAATGAGTCTCTGCCGAATGAGGAGGTTGGCCAGTCCTTTGTACTGCTGGACTGGTCTGGCGAGGTCTACTTCCACCCTCCCTCAGCCTGGGACTCTTTCCCAGTACCTGCTGTTGCAAAGTGTGTGTCCCAGTACCCCTTCCCATGGTCTGCTGCTGCTGTGGCGGTCGGGCCTGTCTTTTGGACTCTTGGACTGAATCAGACGTGACCCTGGGAACTGTGACTGGCCTGGGATTGTGACCTTTTTGACTTACTATTGAACAGACGTGACCTTATCTCTGGCACTAAAACAAAACACAGTGCCTGTTCGTCCAGGACCTGACTGCGACTTTCCACACGACTTTTCCTTTTCATTTGGATGCGACCTTTGCCTCAGAATACTTGTCTTTTGGAATGCTACACGTGAAATTAAGTTCTGACTGTCGGGCCCCACTATGCTGGGGTACTCATCTGGGGTCTGAATCGTAAAGACCCTTTTACATGCCTGTGGATCTACGATTTCTCATATCTGACGCACGTTCGAGTCTATTCTTCTGTTTTCCATTCTCAAATACGACCTGTGTACAAACTCCCCGTCTATCCCGAACCCTCCCAACCAAACCCTGGCAACCCTCAACCCAACACCAGTAAGTGAACAACACATCTGACTCAGTTTTCGCGCCTACGTGACGAGGTGAATGACTGCGGTGTGTGCTGTGTTGGCATGGTGTCTGGTATGTGCAATGAAATCGGCCGACTACCATTTAGAAACTCCCATGCAGGTTACTGCAGCTAGAAACAAAGAGACTTTAAAACTTCGTAAGCATCAAAGAGATCACAATCAACAGTCATAGAGGTGTCAGCTGCTGCTGAAGCAATCCTTTCAACCACTCTTCCTCGTCCCCCTTCTCCTCGCCCCGTCACTCTTTGACAAACACCACTTCGAACTGAGACAAAGCCTCCTGGACGGACCAGGTAAGAATATAGCCAAAGGTTCTCGGGTAATTCGGAGGGGGGGGAAAAAAAAAAAAAAAAAAAAAAAAAAACAGAACAGACACGAAGGACTTTAGCATCAAACAAATCAAAATAAGCAGTCACACAGTTGTCAATTGCAGCTGATGCAACTCTTTCACAATCGAACCACTTTCCTCCATTTCTAACTTAGTCCCTCCCGCACCCCTCTGAACACCTCCCCCCCAACCCCCTGAACAGCCTCCCCACCCCCGTTCACCAATCACCCTGTCCTTTCTGCATACGAAAGAACATTTAGTATCCATATCGTCATCATAATAACATAAATGCTGCATAGGGGCCTGCAGGACCACCATCAGCAATGCGGCGGCCTGGACCATCAGTTCAAACTCCAAACGTAAGCCACGTTCAAAACGAGGGTTGCGCTCATCGTTGGATTTAACCCAACATCTCACGACACAATCTAACAGCAGCCATGCAGCACCTGTATGAAGTCCATGCAGAGGCCTGTACCATTGGTTCAAACTCCAAACAAAGACCGCGTTCAAAACGAGGGTTCCGATTGTCGTTGGGCTTAACCCAACATGTCGCGACATAAGCTGACGGCAGCCATGCAGCCACCCGTATGAAGTCAATGCAGTGGCCTGGACC